TTATGTTGATAGATCTTCAAGTCTTCTTCATCTTTCACAAAGAACACACTACTCTTGGACCGTGAACCCCCTTAAAAGCTTCAAAAACGTGAGTAACTCTTCTATCTACTAGTTAGGCCTTTTAAACTCTTGATTCTAGCCTTGGATCATCATAAAATGCATGAGCGTCAAGAGTTTACGGCTGTAAACCCTTGCATAGCCGTAAAATCTTGTGTTGGTGGATGTTTTGGCCCTTAAACTCCCATATGTTCAAGCCTTGAATCGAAAACACTTCTTGGATGCTAGATAGGGCCATGAAAACGCCTTGTTTGCAAGTCCTTCCATGAGTATACATCCTTAAACTCCATGACCGTACACTCTAGGACCATATACACCAAGGGTCGTATACTCCCTTGGCCGTATACTTCTTTGGCCGTAAACTCCTGGCCGTACACACCTTAGTGTGTCCCTAAACCCCTTAGATGCAATCCTTTGTGGTTGTAACACTTCAATAAAATTGTTTCATAGTCCTTAAGGTGGTTTCCTTGCATCGTTAGTTGCTTATACACTAATTATGTCCATATATGTGTCATTATATGCTTAATAGGATCCTTTTGTTCCCGATATTTCACTTAGCACTCAGCATCCTTTTCTGATCTTACATCCAATCCACTCACTATAGGTGAGTTCATACCCCTAACTAACCTTTTAAATGATTTTAAATGCTTTTATGGGGGGGGGGGGGGAATACAAGTTGAAACATTATAGTTATTATATCAATCACGTGTGATTAATAACTATCAAACCAATGGACCTCTTATACTTCCAAAAGTATCTTATCAAATAACTATTTCAAAACATTTTATCAAACTCTTTTATATGCTAAAACTCTTTATCAAACTCTTTTAAACTTATATATTGTCAAAAACATGACTATTCCGACATAGTTATATAAATAAGGTTAAAAGGACTTAGGACTAATAACTCGCTTTATTTCCCGTTCCTTGTTTGGTTGTGGACTTAGGGTATCACTTTATTTCCTGTTCCAAGCAGGAGACCGTAGCTAATTTAATGTGAGAATCAGAGTACATAGTAGCAAGCGAAGCGGGGAAGGAGGCGATATGGTTGAAGAACTTCATGGGAGACCTTGGAGCTGTACCAACTATAAAGGAGCTTATGGAGATTTACTATGACAGCAACAATGCGGTTGCCTTAGCCAAGGAAGCAAGAGATCATGGCACATTGATAGAAAATGTCACTTCATAAGACTCAAGATAGAAGAAGGACTCCTCGTAGAAAAGAGGGTATCGTTAGAAGAGAACCCAGTAGATCCCTTCACGAAGGGATTGAATAGGGTTAAGCATTTGCAGCATGCAAGGATCATCGGGATAAAAGACGATATTAGTTTTAATAATTAGATTGTTATTTCTGAAACTTGTAATAGATAAAATGTAACTGATATTTGATGATTAAATAAAACTTGTTGTTTATTTATGAGTAAAGTTAGTATCTTGTGTCAATTATTTACTATTGTTTCAATTTTGCATGTTTTGACTTCCAGAATAAAAAGATTATTCAAACTATCCACAATCGATCATACTTTGGAAGTAGGTATTGAATCATGAATGTAATGAATTTGGCTTGTAGATTGTCTGAAATGGTTAGACATTGCTATGACATTCATGAGTACTTATAAGTTCCGGGTATTGGATTAAAGGCATGCTCACTTGTATCACTTCATGGAATTTATCTCGAGTGATCATGAGATGATAATATCGTATAATTCTTTAAACCAAGAGATATGAGTTATTGACTATGATTTGGTTCTGCACTGATAGTACGTAAACGCATCAGTAACTTGATGTTATAAAACATATTGTTGTGTATAATTTGGCGAATAGTTAGTACAAGCATATGAATCGAAGTTTATATGTTACTTTTAGTCCTTAGAGGATTAAAAGCGATATCTTGGGACCCTCGATGATTTTGTTTTGACTTATGTCTCAGGCCCGGTCAGAACTTAATTGATGTGTTCGATTAAGTTCTATGTGAAACAAATCGGAAATCGGGAAACAAACTGCTGGAAAATAAGTATTACGCTGTTCCATGTATTCGTCCGGCTGATAGCTTGAGAACAGAGGATTATATGATCACTTGTGTAAAATGGTGCGTTCCAGCTCAACAAAGTTTTAAGAGCTACGATTGCTAGTCGGTTCCTGAAGTCATACATGCAACTATAGTTATTAGACTTATCTAAGTGGGAGACTGTTGGATAGGGTGTCTAAGTCCATAACTATATTTGGTATGTACTTGACCCGATTTAGTATGGTCCATTTAGGTTGCACTTCACCATAACAATTTGCACTTTAAGAAGAGGATATGTATGATTTATTAATATATTATAAGTTATAATATATTAATATCAAATCATATTATTTAATTGGTATTGATCAATAATTAATTTGGAATTAATTTTGTGTTCAAAAGAGACTAATTAAATATATAAGGATTGATTGTGTAAATCATTCATTCTTATAATGTAGGCTAATGATCCATGATTCCTTATGTTGTGCTTAACCCATGTGGTGACCCATGGATGCTCCATGGAGGTTAAAACCCATGGATTATGAGGAATGTGGAAAGTCATGAGTTACATGGTGTAACCCTAATGTGTCCACTATATAAGGAGCCCTTTGGTTCAAGAAAATGGCACCTAATATACACACAAAGAAGTGGCTAATTTTTGTGAGCATTATAGTTCTCTTCCAAGCTTCCTAGTGTTAGTGGTGATTTGTGATTCCACTTGAGGCAATCACATTATTGGTGCTAAGCTCTTAAAGCTCCAAGCAATAAGCCACAACAAAAGGTATGTTTCCTAACTTGTTTTATTTACTATGTATCAAACCTTTGTATGCTAGTTAGGGTAATATCTTGGAAACTTCAAGTTTGCAAGTATAATAGTGAAAACATAGATCCAAAGTATTTAGGGTTGCATATACACCTTAGGAGTGTTAGAATGCTTAAAACCCTTCAGAATATAGGTGGTGGAGTTCATGGCTGTGATTCGAAAGTTTGATCTTGTCACTTCAGTTCGACATTTGTGAGGTGAGTCTTCCTCACTATACTCAAGGGTCGAAGGCACCAAGGCCGACCCTTTTGGATTTTTATCCTGATATGATATATGCTCGAGTATCGTATGATCTATTATATTGGTATCCTGTTAGATAGGATGTTATCATGCTATTATGATTTGTTAGATCGGTATCCTGGTAGATAGCACTACTAGAAAAACAGCCTTTTACGACGCTCATTGCGCGTCGTAAAAGGCTCAGACGACGCACAAATGCGCGTCAAGGAAGGCCCTGTCATAAAGAGAGACAACACGCATTTATGACGCTCATTGACGACGCACAGTTACGACGCGCGTTTACGACATGCAATGCGTATCAAGGAAGGACCTGTCATAAAGGAAGACGATAGGCATTCACATGTCGTAACCTTACGACTCGCGTGTTAATGACACGCAATGCGTATCAAGAAAGCCCCTATCAATAAAGGCCATGTCATAAATGAAGATGACACTCATTTTTGCGTATCATAATTTTAAATGTTTAAAAAAAATATTTTTTATAGACTTACTAATTTTCAAATTAAATTTGCATTTAATGTCTCATAATAGAAAATAAAATATCATATACAAAAAATATAATCCATTTCATAAAATTTAATGTCATAAAAAATATCATATACAAAAAATAGAATCCATTGCATAATATTCTATTACAAATTTGACATCTTTTTGTTTCCGTACTTTGACAATTTGTGCTGCTGCTGATTCCAGAGCCAATCTGTGACTCCATCACTTGAAATTACAAGCCTCCCACCAGCAAGAGATAGATGAAGATCATGAATAAATAAAAGTTGTTAATAAAAAGAGGAATAAATTGAGTTTAATTACTAAACTAACTTTCACTTGTTTGACATAAGGAACTGGAATAATGAACTCCCCAACATCTCTATCTCCAATAGATCTTGAAAGGAATAACCCACCTCGCCAACATTCTAAAGGACCAATCTATCATAAATATAAAAACATTGGTAAGTTAAGTAAAAACGTTGGTAAGTTAAGTAAGATCCCATTTAAGTTGTAGCATATGCAAGAACAATTTGACACTAGTCAAATGTGCTATCTATGGAACTCCAGAATAACAAATTTTCTACGATGTAACAATAAACAAACCTATTCAATTAGTGAAATAATGGATATGTGTTAAAGGAGATTCACTTTAGCAATATTTTCAAGTTCTTCCATAATATGATCAAGTTCCTGCGCCAACATCATACAATATCACTACTTGGACATATTAACATACTTTGACTTTCTTTTCAGTCTTTCCAAGATTTTACTTATTAAGACATAATCTTTTTTTATAAAAAATGAGAATAATATCATACGCTTGCTTGCTGAATCAGCTCCCTGCTCCAAAACTTTAAAGGATAAAAAAAAAGACATAAAGTCCCTCCAGATCCTTATCATTAAATGCAATACAAATGACAAGAAACAAGAATAAACCTGCAAAGATGCATGCACTGAAAAATCAAGGAAAAATTTTATAGTTGTGAATGATAAGTAACGTTTCAAGATTTGTGCTAATGAACCCATACCTGCTCACTGTAAACAAGGTTTGTGCTGATGAACCCATCCCTTCAAGCATGAGGGCAACCCGGTCAAAATAACCAAAGGTAGAGTCAGCAATATCATTATTATATAACTAAAAAGAAAAAAAATAGAATTAAGAAATAAGAACACCGTTCACAAGGGGTTCTGTTTTTAACTTAAAACTAAGTCGTTTTGAATTGTTCAAACTTCTAACTTCTAAACCTAGACTTAAGTACATAACAACACAAAAATCAACTTTTTCCTATGTAGAGAGAGAGAGAGGGAGAGAATGTGTGTGTGTGAGAGAGAGAGAGAGAGAGAAAGTACCGTGAAGAGAAAGTTGTATCCCAACTCAAGAACATTACAAGAATACTTCACTGGTCATATTGACTTGATCAGCCAGGATGCGAATTGTATCTGAGTTGTGAGAGTTTATGTCACAGAAAGGAGGAGGGAGGTTAGGTTGTTCACCCAAATTCATGGCAAGATAGTTGGTAATAATACCATATTCTTTGTCAAACACCACGATATGCAATGAGCCTATCTATTTACAATAGTGGATTTATGAGTTCCATCATATTATGAAAAGATATAGACACAGAAAACTGTGACAGTGTGTTTAATTTGAAGCCCAAACCCTCACTTTCAAGGCAAAATTTGGAACTTTGCGAAAAATGTCTCTTAAACTGCGCCTGATAAAGATATGAAAGTCACAGCCTTCACGTATCATTGGCCTCCCTACAACACCATTTACTCCAACAACCATATACTAAAGAAGAGTATCATCAAGAAATTAAGTTGCATTAACATACCTTCTGAGGTCTCCCAAGCAACGCCTCCAACAAAAAGTTTTCTACCTGATGTTAACTTTAGAAAATTAGAAGTTAACTTTCAAACTCATAACATAATGGCCATCTTTTTCATATCTTGGGCGAACACTGGAAATAAGAGAACTAGTCATGAATTCATGATAATGTAATAAAATACATACCAACACATTGAGATATGTGACAAGCATTACAGACAAGACAACAAGCATGTCTTGTAAGTCCCTAAATCAAGATAACAAAAAGGAAATTAGCCTCACCAACAATGAAATTACATCAGCATTTTATCATATTAGAGGGTTTTAAATGTATTCATGACATAGTTGATGTTCAAGATAAAGATAACTACCCTAAAACATGGCTTTTCCAGTAGAGCTGAACCAGTCCCTTCATATAAAATAGGAAAGAGAGTATTCACCACAAGAATTATGAGGATCATAACCTACATAAGAAAGCAGGTCAATAATTCAGAATACCTACATATACAATTTTATCATTTTTAGGTGTGATGGGAGCATGATAAGGACATGGACATTGGATGAATTTCAATAACAGATAACAATATTTTTCTAGTAGTAGCCTTTCTTTTTCTCGATGGACTTTAGTAATCAGAAAAAAGTTCATTAAATCTAAACTAAAAGTGGAATTCTCACTAAAAGGTAGATTTTTTACTTGTTGGAAAAGCACCTGATCTTATTATGAAACTTACATATGGGGAGACGCTTTGTGTCCCATACTTGTCATCACTAGGCAGAGGTCATGACTTATTTCGTCGATGGACGAAATTTTTGGCTTTTGATGTATAACCTGGATGGGATTAAAACTGATTAAAATAAAATCTTTAAAACCAAAAAGACCAAATTTTTATATAATAAAAGAAACTTTACCAAAAATGCTATAACATGCCGTATATGCTTCAGTTCATCCCAAGCAAAACCTGAATACTGCAGTCCTTTTGTTTAGCAAATAAGAATAGAAAATAGTGTTTGGCATGACGATATTGAGGAAGGAATGGAATCGTTAATTCCATTCCAATGAAAGAAAATATCACTCCAGATTTACCTCATAAGTTGCATTAAAACACTAGTGGTCTAGTTCAGCCAATCCCGCTTTCACATACTCACCATTGCTAAACGAACAACACTCACATCTCAAAAGTAGAATGCATTTTATAAAAAAATAAAAAAAGCCCAAAGGCCCAGAATCATATTTTATATTCAAATCACAAAAGAATACCCTTTACAAAAAATAAATATATACTTGTTAAAGAATACACTCTTCAAGATTTATGTTTAACCCTGCAACATTTGGATCTCAACCTGTAAGTTGTGCTGCTATGAGTAGCATCTTATCTTAACAACAATTTTACCTGCAACAGCTGCATGCTCAAAATTTCTATGTAGGAAATGCTTCTGGAAGTCAAGTGGGGGTGGGGGTGGGGGTATGACTCAGCAGCTGTTCCATATATTTTTAATCCAAATATTGCAACTCAACAACATCCACCTACTTCCATGATGAACAACTCAAAGAAAGAGGATACCAGACCCTTGGTTTTCAATGTGGTTGGGCTGCAATGTTTTGGTGCAAGAACATTTTGCAGGTAAGCATAAGCTTCTCCATCCTACACATGAAATCAAACTTACTGTTATTAAACATGAAAGCACAATGAAAAAGGGAGATTTACCTTAAGATCAGATAAGAAATATTTAAAACTTATAAAATATATCTACAAGAAATTGACCAAATAAAATTCATTAACTTTTTACCTATTTGAGTTGAAGTTCAGTCATGTTAAAGGAGAAAAGGTTATGATATGCTTCTCACTAAAACTTAAGCGACTCACCTTCTACTTTTGTATTGCAGGCCTTCATTTTGTTTTTGACTACCTCCAACTGTATCATGAAAAGAAGTTATAATAATCACTACAATTTCAAGAAAACATGGCATATAAGAGAGTATATAACTCATGTCCTTGTCTACCAGGTCTTAAAAAAACCTAGGAACAAGAAAAACAATAAAAAAAAAAGATGACCATCACTCCATTAAATCATAAAAAAATATTAGAAAAAAACTAGTTATACTTAAATACATCACATATTAGAGATTATAACATTAGTTTGACTAGTTGGTTCTTGATTATAAGAAGTTATTCTTGTAGCCTAGTTGTATATGCTAATAATTGGATACCTGTTGCCTGCACTTGACAAGTAGCTTCCCAAACAACAACAACTTGTTCAGAGAATGAAACTAAAAGCAATGGTAATAGAAACACAATGTTATCATATTCTACCCATGACCCAACCACTTCCCTTGTCACTATCAGTGAGGTACATTATGTTTACACTTTCTTGTATATATGAGAAGTTAAAAGGACTTGCAAGAAATTCAGCTCCCCCTTCACCACATACGTTACTTCCATACAACCTGCCAAGAAAAAACTCATAATTTGAAAATTTGACAAAAACAAAAAAAAAGGAAATATGAAACTTGTTAATGTGAAAAAAATGTACTCATTTAACTTAAGAAGGTGTGCCCATAGGTATGAATTTTTTTTTCCTAAATTCCTTGAAGGATCTAAAGTTCTAAACCAATAGCTGTAAGCTGAAATGGTGAAATCAAGTTTTTTTTAGAGATGAGAAGTAGATGCAGGAAAAAAAATGGAGGCATAAAGGAGAAATCGAAAATACCAGGTGAAATCGTAGATGCAGGAAAAACTCATAAGTTGTTTTGCTTGATTGAGAAGATAAAGTCGATAGATGAATGAGAAATTACGTTTCCTCTTATTTGTTGAACGGCTGAAGAAATAGGGCAAGGTAGAAGCATCCTTCTCATACCTTTGTGCAATTAGACCTAGGGCTTGCAAACCTGAGGAGTCTTAGTAGATGGAGTAGGGTGGAGGGGAGGTGGACCAGTGAGCCTGAGGAGTCGATACTTATGTAACGATGGTGATAGATAACTTTTCGTTCTTATGTGATGAGTATGAGAGTGATTAATAGACAGGTGTATAGTACCCTATGCCGTAGCCTGAGGAGTCGCAACACCAGTACGATGGAGGAGTCTTAGTTGCCAAACGACGCTACAATCGAGAGTGAAGCAACTGGGTTGTAAGGTCTCCAATCAAAAAAGCCCTAGTTTTACCTATAACCATCGTGGTGTCTTCCTTCTTCTATGCCACCCTCGCTGTCTTCTTCCTTACCTTAAGCCACCATCTAAAACCTAAGAGAGAGAGAGATAGAGAGAGAGAGAGAGAGAGAAAGAAAGATGGAGATAGATCTTTGAAAAAAGCCCTAGTCTTGATTTTGTGCTTTGGGACTCATAGACGCGCTTCTCCCTTCTCCTTTCGTCAAATCGGTCCCGCACCAGAGGTGCTTCCCCTTTCGCGATTGATTACCATCATCGAGCCACCATGGCTGCTTGCGTTCCCATCTTCCTTGCTCGATAGATGAACCACGACCACCGGACCAAAACTCCCGCTACCTTTTATCAAGATTTTACTTGATCAACAAATTAATCCATTACAGTTAAATAACATTGGCAATATAAATCATTAACAAACCTCCCCCAATAAAGTGTAATTTTGATTAACTTAAAACAAAACATAACAACAAACTGATGCATAAATGAAATGTTGTGATGATTGAATTTCATATTAGTATACTACTCATTCAAAATATTTGAATATCATGGTGTCACTAAGGATTGAACCCTTTATATTCATAGTGAATACATGAAGACAATACATACAACAGTTTACATACTTATAAGTTCTAACTTGACACTATATTTTACTATCTTGTGTCTTATCCTTTAATAAGCATATCAAAGTTAAGTCCTAAACTTCACGAAACACCTAAACTTCATGTTTATATAGGTAGTTCTTTTATTCTTGCACTTCTAAATGCAATTTTTCAAAAGAACTATTAGAAGTAAAATTCCAACCTCCTTTACTTTTAGTATTGAACATTAATAATTTCGTTTTATTTACTTATTTTTATAGTTTATTTTAGCATTTTTCATTCATAATTTAGCTATTCTTCATGCATATTGTCCTTTTTGTTATTTTATGACTCTTTCGGGTACTTTCTGGTTTCACGAGTGTAAATGCATATTTTAAGGAGACTAGCAGAGCGCGATCTTCAGGAAGCAAATGGACTTGGAGGACAATAATGGATATGATGAAAATCATGGTTTTGTTGATCATTTGAAGGCTTGGAGTAAACGAACTTTGAATTTGCAAGAAAACAGAAGAATATTCGAGCGTGCAGAGATTAATGATCGAGCAAGTACACGAGCTAAGGGTGATTTAGAGAAGACAAATTGGGCTTAAATTGAAGAAAACTTGAATGAAGATGGGCTAGGAGCTGACTGGAGTCAAACGGGACCAGTGCGCTAAGTTGTGGAGGCCCAAAACTCAAATTGGCCCACATTAGGAGGCACCCGCGTACGGTTGTGCGACCCGTACACGGAGATGTAGGGGCATTTTCAGAATTCCATCTTCAGTGCTATTTGAGGAAGGTTAGTGTGGATCTTTTACATACTTCTACACTTTCTAAATTTGAAGGTTTCTCAGGAGATTTTGGAGTACTTTAAAGGCCAAGAACACATCAAAAACATCATTTTTGCTCTTGATTCTTGTTAGATGTTTGGTATAATCTACTCTCACTTTGGTTTTTTGATTTTAGCCATGTTAGGCTAAACTAATCTTGATTGACTTTTGTGAAATCACTTGATGTTGGTTGAATGTGGAAGAAATACAAGAACTTGTTCATAAACCTTTATGAGAATGTTTTATGTTTTAACATCTTCTTGTTAATTATATATTTTTATTCATGAGTTAAATGTATTTATAGTGATTAGTTGGCTAATTTCTTGATTAAGTAAAGGATCCTCAAATTAGCAAGCAACAAGTGGTTCTTGTGTTAGTTTTCACTTCACACATTCACAAAAACATTTTCTCCAACATGGAAGTGAAAGCATTGGACTCCTCTTGGATTTGGTGACTTTTTGGTTCTTAATGCTAGTTAATTTTCACTAATTACATGCTTAATGGAAATTGTGACTTTAACTAAGGAAATTGTTATGAGCTTCTCCAGCTATTATAATAAGTAAGAAAAGTCTAGGTAATCTCAAGCTTCATGGATTACTATAGCTAAATTAGAAATTTAAAATAAGTATTGCACCATTGGATTCTAATTATATGTTCACCAACTGTTCAAGTGAGGAAACCTAAAGTCCATCATCTTTCCCTCATTGATTTAACATTAAACTCTAGTTTTTGTTGAATTTTCTATTTAAATCTAAGTTTGAATATAGTTTTATTTCAAGTGTTTCAAAAGACCAAAACCCCTATTTTTACTTCTATTGTCATTTTACAAGTATTTTTACAAAGAGGT